GGCGGCGGCGGCGCGCCGGGGTGAGTCCGGTTCTACCCGCGTTCTGCCCCCTTCGCCTCTTTTTGTTTCCCTCACAGCGGCTGGGTGCAGCGCGGTTCCGTGTGGTGGGATTCAGGCTCGTTCAGCCAGGGTTGAGGGAGTGACCGTGGCTTTCCTACCTAAAGCACTCGGTCGTGTCATGGGCGGTGTTGGGATATTGTGTTCTTGGAAGTACTTTTTCTGAGAGTTATATGTGCTTTCCCTTTGTTTAGGGACTGGAATAACCCCATCTCCCCTCATTTTCTTGTCCGAGTTGAATACCTTTAGTTTTCTTAGGATTTGGGAAACCGTAAAACAAAAGCTTTAATCAAAGTCACATTTTGAAATGCGCCAAGAGGGGATATTTCATATCAACTTTATTGTTTTTCAGTTCACGTCTGGGCAATGAATACAAGCCTTTTAACTTTTTTTGTTCTTAAATTCCAATACTGGAAGACCTTATCTACCATCTAATCTTCATTGATGTCTGGCTCCTTTGAAGTAGATATGAAAAGCATGCTTTCTTGGATGCAGGCAGTGAAATGTGCACACCAGTGTACTATATAAGACCACTTGAGCAAACTGAAGTTCATAAGGCTGAAGATAAGCTATCTCCCCAAATCAGCAGTGTATGCTTACTAAAGCAAAAAAAGTAGCATCCTAGTTTCTCCCCCTGAAACAACAGTGGCGAACTCTATGCAAACTACAGTTTTGGTTGCTTAGTAAGTTCATACAGGCCAGTACTTCAACCTCCAAATTACATTTCTCTCTCTTATGCATTTACAGCCAACAGACCTGGAAGAAAGACTTTGCCTTGGAGCTAACTCCTGAGCATTTTGAGATCATTCATCATGAAGTATGTAGTACAGGAATGGCTCAGAGTAACTACCTTGCTATTCATAGCTCAAGCAGTTTCTGCAATGGTTCTTCCCAATGCCACGCTCTTAGAGGAACTTTTGGAAAAGTACATGGATGAAGATGGTGAGTGGTGGATCGCCAAGCAGAGAGGGAAAAGGGCTATCACAGACAGTGATATGCAAAGTATCTTGGATCTTCATAATAAATTACGGGGTCAGGTGTATCCACCAGCTTCCAATATGGAATATATGGTAAGGAAAAACTGAGAGCGACACGCAGAAAGAAATGTTCTTAGAATAGTTACTGTCACTTTATAAAACAGCATACTTTCAGTCTTAACTTGCTTGTTTTCTCATTTAAAGCGCTTGTTACTTGTTTGTCTTTTTTTGTACAGGGGTGAACTGTGAGATAGAAGTGCCTATTTGTGGATCAAGTGTCATGTTCTACTGATACTGATGGGTTTAATCTCTCATAGCTCTCCTGAATTTAAGTGGCAATTCCTCTGTCTCAGGGGCCAATTTCCAAAATGACATTGCTCAAAATAGTTGATTGTGGCCTAAGAAGTTACCATCTAAGAGTACTGAACTATGAAATTTCAAAATAACATGGATTCTCTCCCATGCTTCTAGGTTGGATGGAATTTCTGAGCAAAATGAGGTTCCTGTAACAAGAAAGTCTTCTATTTAAGTTGGCATGTGTTACTGGACTGGAGTCCTGTATGTTCCTTCATTTAACAGATTAATAATGTAATACATAATTGCTGTTTGTGTTTTTCCCTTAAGAAGCCTCTATATTTGGTTTGTTATTAGTAGACTTAAATCTCCCATGTCTCTGAACTTTGATTTTATGCCACAGTTCAAAGCTAACTCTCTCTCTCCTTGCTTGATCCTTGATTAGATAAGTTGGGTTGTTAGAGCTTTTAAGGAGTCCAGAGGTCTGACAAGAATGGGCAACTTTTCTTTTGTATTCTCGTTTCTGCAGAAAAGCTCAGATCTTTTTCCTGTGCCCACACTGTGTATTACTTGTTATTTCTCTGGTGCCTGGACAGATAAACATTACGATCATTTGGGTGGTTTATACCAAATATGATGCAGGTTTCCTGACACATTGTAAGGTTATGAGAGAGGATCACATTAACAGATTTCAAGATGTAGATATTTTTCCCAACTTGGAGTGATGTCCCTCAGCTTGGAGATCTGATTGAACTGAGCATATATGTGTCCTGGAGAAACCGTGCTTGCTTAAACCATCAATAAAGGTAGTTTGACTTAAGTTTATGTATATGAGTGTTACTATATTAGACTAAGAGCCATCAGAGAACTAGTTACCACATTTCGTCTCCAAACAAAGGGATGATAATATCTGAAACCCCTTTAACCCTTTCAGTTAAGCACATATCTTTAGACATTGTTTTCTGTTCTGACTTTTTCAGACCTTGTTATAATATAGATTGCCTTTTTGTTCCAAATAGCTCAGGTTGATTTACTTCTGGAAAGCTTAAGAAAAAGCTGTCCAGCCTTTTTGTAAAATGAGAATAGGGAAGACTGTATTGTTTTCCCATGTTAAAATACCGCAAAACTTTTTCCTGAGATTCTACAAAAGGATAGTTTTGATTTTTAGTTATGTGCCTTTTTCCATTCCTAATGCCATTCTACATTTGCCTGTGTTATATATCTTGGAGGAATTTGGATGTACTAATTGGAGTTAGGTTTTTGACAGCTGTATTCTCCAAAGATTCCTCCGGCACTGCACACGCTTTGGCCTAGACTTTGTGTTAGGTAGGTCTACATCTGGAACAAGTTTTTGTGGTGGTGGTGGTGTTTTTCCTGTGCTCCCTACTAACCCCTGACCCAGAGTACAAGTAGCATGGGAAAGAACTTACCCAATTTTAATGTCAAGGAGATACTCTTATGTCCCATTTTTCAGAATGGGACAGCAGCTTTCAGGAGAGTGGGATTCAGTTTTGGTGTAATATCCAAGGGATTCAGGGATTGGGATGGGCAAGAGTTTGGGATTTGTGAATGCAAGGGATCTGTGTAAAGGGATGGATACATGTTCAGGGACCAGGACCCATGAGAAGGGCACGGAGAGAGGCTGAGGGTCTGGTCAAGAAAATGTTGAGAAATCGGTGGCATGGAGGGAAAGAACATTTGATGAATAGATGGGCTTAGGGGAAGAACTGTGACTCTCTGGGCAGAGAAGAGTTGGGAGTAGGAGTTTATGGAGAGAGGTTAAGAGCACAGAAGTTTGCTAAGAGGCTATTTAAAAAGACTAAACCTGGGAGTGAGTGGGAAGGGAGATTGCACCTGGAGGAAGCAAGTGGGAGTCAGTATTGGGAACCAAGAGAGGATGATTTAGGAGACAGAGGTAGCCTTCCACTGCTTCAACAGAAGGAAGAAATGGTGGGATTTCTGATTGTTTGTACATACATTTTTACAATACAGTATGTGATTGTGTGATCATCCACCTTCTTTTCTATATGAAGCGTCATAAAGGAATCAGGGCTGTTTTATTGTTTGATAAGAGCGAAATTTGAGTACAGAATTTTAAATGTGGCGTGGAGCAACAGATTGAACAGCAAAGAAGGAGCAATAAATGATAGCTCATTAAGGAAGCATAGTTTATTTTGTGCCAAGAGATTCTTTTGGAAAAACTATTATCTGGTCATTTTCATAGTGCATATATGCAAGAAATAAGTTAGAGGCAAACTCCATTCTATCATTTCATAACTACTGACAGATATAGCTGTGTAACTATTACTGCTAGCTTTTTGTCCCTAATTAAAACAAATGCCTGTTTTGACACTTAATAGTCACTTTATTTTTCTAGATGCATATTAATAACAGGACACCCAAGTTCCACTTTTCCAGGTAATGAAATAAGCACTCTTAGGTCTGGTTTTGCAAGGGTCTGTGACGTCCAGATCAGTTTTGTGAATGACAGAAAGTTCAGACCCCCAAGTATTGATAGAAGTAAAAGTGTACTTGGCTTTTTTTTGTTAAATAAAGCAGGGGGATAAATAGGGATGTTAAACTGAAAAAAAAGTTTCAGCAGATAGACCCATACTACTGAACAAAAAAACCCACCCTTGCAATGTGGTACATCGAGTCTTACCAAAGGTGAGCTGCAGTGCTCCAGAATAGGGAAACAATCCCTCTAAATGTTTGCTTGGTGTTTGGTGAGCTAGAGAAGTACAGCTGAAATACTTTTGTCTACTTTTGGGGTACTTTATTAGTATAGACATGCTGGCAAAAAAGATTCCTGCTAAGGGCAGAGTCATGTCCCTGTAAGCTACCCCTTGTATATTCCTTGTAGGTAGAGCTAGCTCTGCTTATGGAAGGGGAGTTTTATGTCTCACTGAATCTGAATAGGGGTGATCAAGGTCCAGGTGCTTCACTGGTATACCTGTCTCTCTAGAAGCCTGTCGTATAGTTGAGAAATTTAAGATCTCTGTGGGGGCTGCCTGCTCTCCGTGCGCTGTTGGTGTGTAACAGTGAAGCTAACCTAACAGGTGGCTCTGGCTGAAATGCCTCTGTCCTGCTTCTGACACTGGCACGTATCGGAGTTGATGATGAGAGCGATCCAAGCACTTAAAGAATCCGATTTTATTTTTTTAAATTTAATTTTTTTTTTTCCCAGTCTGAGTCGTGAAACTGGCTCCCTACACAGCTAAATCAGATGAGTACCAGTGCTGATAAAAGAAGGTAGGAATGCATAACTAAGGAACGAGAGGGGTGAAGAGCCACACTTTGGGTAGGAGGTATTGGTTATCTGCCTTACTTGCAAAGTCCAGCTTTACCTTTGAGAGAACCGCAGGGCTCATGCCACATTTTGGTGTAAGTTGTGCAGAGGAGAAAAGCTTTTGGGGATTGTCTCCAGCATGTAAGATCTTGGTTCTATTTAAAAAAAAAAAAAAAAAGGGAAAACAGAAAGGTTGAATTACTGATTTTCTGTACGGCTATGCCTTGAAAACGAAAAAGGGTACTGGACTATCACAGTTCAGAGACATAGGGTTACTAGCTGCAGTAAGATTCACAGAAGATGCGTCTAATGAACAGAGCGTTCTCATGGTTGTCTGGCTGAACTTACCAGATGAACTTTTCTTCCCAAGTACTGTGGCTCTGGCGGTGAGCAGTAGTGGATTCCTAGGGTAAGAGGATAAGAATAGAGCATGTGAACAGAGAAAGTTCTGCAATGAAACCCCCCCAGATTCTAAGGAATTGTCTTTTATGAATCTGAACGCTTTGGAGTCCATTTGTATTCTTTGAATCCATGACATCGAGTCGGAGAGCTCTATAAATTTAATTATACAGTGTGTAAAGAAGTACTTTTTTCTTTTGCTTTAAACCTGTCTTTTATTTGATGCCTTGTTTTTCTTTATTGTGAGAAATAATGATTTCCTCAGTGGTCACATCTTTTTCAGCTGAAGAGTCCTATTCCTCTTACTTGAAAACTGTTCTGTGAAAAGCTATTCCACTTTGTTTTCCTTCTCAATCTGCTATGGTTCTACTGTTTTACTTCAAAGGGAACAAACCAAACTGTTGATATCAATACTGCAAATTGATATAGTTGTGTTTTTGGTTTTTTTTTGCTTCCTAATAATTTCTAACATTGTTTTGCTTTTTGACTGTGACTAAACTAAAGCCAGCATTTTCATAGAGCTGTTCACAATGACTCTGAGATCTTTCCAATGTGCTAAAGAAGTCATTTACTACACTACAGTATATGTATAGTTGGCTGTAATCTCCGGCAATGTCCTCATTTTGCCTGTGTTCACATTGAATGCTATCTATCATCTTGTCTTCCAATCACTTAGTATTAGTGAGTGTCCTATCTCTATCTTTTATTTTCCTTTCTTGTTTTTAACTACCTTAAGTAGTGAATGCCATCTTGCATTCCCTTTTCTTGGGCAATTGTAAAGAAGGTGTACAGCAGAGGATCATGGACACATCTTGCAGGGAATTTGAAAAATTATTTTGTATTCTTAAATCTTTTTCTGTCTTTTACCACTTTTTTTCTTTATCTTATGATAGCTTAATTTTATTCATGTATTAATTTTTAAATAACTTAGAAACTTTGTAGAGAGCTTAACTGCACTTAACCCTTTTCCACATGTTGTTGACACCTTCAAAGTCTAATAAATTTGGGAGGAATTCATATTATCTGTATACTTAATATGTTTTTTAACTTGTCCTATGAAATCACCCCAACGGAAGTCAGTTTTTAGTCTGCAGTTTCTCAGGATCTACTG